GGGGCTTGGCGGGTCGGGCGGAGGGCGGGGCCCCAGAGCTCGCCGCGCTGTCCACGCCCCCTTCCCGGCTCCCGGCTGGAGGTAAAGCTCGGAGCCGGATTCGGGCTGGGAGGCTCCCTCTTGCAGGGAGGGGCGGGTGCGGGGATGGATCCTGGTGGAAGAAGGGACGAGATCGCTTGGGCCCAGGGTGGCCCCAAAAGACGGAAGGGGCGGCGCGGCGCCTGGCACAGCCACAGAGCGGGAAGCCCGCGTGGAAAGGGAGGGGCACAGGCCCCGGCGGCCTGGACGGCAGTCCCGCTGCTTTGGACGGGCCGGGAGTGACTCTAAAATTAAACCGAGGGTGTTTCATGTGGCGTCTGTGACATTTCCGCCAGTGCCACACCCACCCCGACAGCAGAGAGAAAATAACACAGCCGCGGCTCTCGGCCCCTCTCGGGTGGCTTTTCTCTGCTGTGCAGCCCCTGGAGCCACGTGCCCCCAGCAGCTGGTGGCGGGGGAGCCCTGGGGAGCAGGGCGAGGGCCACGGCTTAGGGGATATTTGGGGTGTCCAGGATTTTTAAGTGATTTCGGTCAAACATTTGATGCATACAAAATAATACACTGAAAAATATATATATTTATTTATATATATTAATATATTATACATTATATATAATAATTATATAATATATAAATGATTATATTCTATAATAATATATATATGTAAATATATATATTTAAAGCAAACTACTAAACCGGCAGCCTGTGACCGGGCCGCCTTATCAATACCAACGAGATGTCTCCCGGGTTCTGCTGCTCCCCTCGACCCCCGTCCTGAACTTGGTTTCTCTCTCCTCCCCAATTTTTAGTAGTTTAATCATAGCTGGTCCTGTAGGAAGTCGTTAGACGTGTAAAATTGTAAGCAGGGGACCCAGTTGGGACCCACGCCCAGTCACAGGGACGTCGCCTCCCACCGGGAGTGTGTTCATGACCATATGATACAAACGAGCCTTGTGTTTTCCTACAAGAAAAGGTATCAGGCTCCCTGAGTCGGTGGGTCACAAACCCCTAACAGAACTACAACTACGGGTGGGTCTGGATGCGAAGACACGTGTTTTTTTTAATAAATATTAATAATAATAAAAAGTTTTCATAAACCACACTAAGAGAAATGTCATCAGCTGTTCCAATAATGTCCTTTAGAGCAATTTTTTCCTTCCAGCCCAGGATCCAGTCCAAGCAAGACCTCTTCACTTTATTTCTGCTCTAACTTTAAGTGAATAAAAACATTCTTAAGTGGAACGTAGTTGGACCCAGGATCCTGGTTTTAACCACCACGTTTAGCAGCCCCGGCCCCGCGTGAGCCTTTGGAAACCTCAGGAAAGGCTCCTGCTGACAGGGGTTCCCCCCTCCACCAGTTTTCTCACAGGGGCTTCGGGCCTTGGCCAGGGCCGCTCTTCACTTGACTTTTGGAAAACCCGTCCATCTTTACACGTGGACAGTTCCCTCTCAACCAGCAGCCCAGCTTGTTACAGCGCGTCAGGCGTGAGGGAGGAAGCCTAATACTTGACAGCAAGCCCTTGGCCTTTCAGGGTCAAGGGGTCAAACGTCAGAACCACACGGGCCTCACCTGCGCCTCCCGCCCAGCTGGAGCACAGTCTCGTGAACCCCACCTGCTCGGTCCCTTCACCTACACGGTTTGATGATGGCCTTTGACAGGCGGGGAGCCTCACCTGGGGTAGTTAGTTCACCTGGAAACCGCAGATGGCGTTACTCACACAGCCCCAGCCCGCCGGATGCGCTGTGGCCGGGAGGGGCGGGAAGATGCAGGGGTGACTCAGTTAGACAAGCGCCTGGGATCCGGGCACCCTACGTGGCCACCCCAGGAGCTCGCCCGAAGCTGTGTCTCCAACAGGAAGGGCTGTACTAACGTGAGCCGGCCTGTCTGCCCGCCACCCTCCTGTGCTGTTGAGACACGAATAGAAACCATGACGCCCGTCATGCTTTCATCCGGGAGACTGTGGGCTCACACAGTTTATATTCGTTTATAGCGACTCCTCGCTCTTTATGGGGGAGGCCCGGGAAACCTGTGCAAGCCTACACCCCGGGGAACACGGGAAGCACGGGGTGATAGCATCGGGGCGCCTTGGTTTCTTCTTTTCACTTTATCATCACAATGAACCCCGACCGCTCCCTGCCTTTGGTACCTTTTCCTGATTAGTAGCATGCCCAAGCTTCATATTCCAAAAACTGAATTATTCACTCGNTGGTACCTTTTCCTGATTAGTAGCATGCCCAAGCTTCATATTCCAAAAACCGAATTACTCATTTCGGGAGATTTATGGGGTCCGCCACGTGGCGGTCGGGGAACAGAGTAACGAAGGAGGAAGAGCACCTAAGACCAACCAGCCTTCAGTTCGACGGTCGTCCCTAGAAGGGAACTTCCTGCCATTTCCTGCCCCTCCCACGGTTCTCTACTGTAAAACACAGGAAGGTCTATATTTTCCTTCAAATAACAGGCTCCGTGGGCGTTTCTGTGCTTTCGTTCTGGGGGGTGATTCACTGCAGGCTGAGAGCCTTTCCACGTGTCACATTTCATCGTTCGCCGCCTCGTCAGAACCTTCTGCGCCTGGAAATCTCAACCTGGGGGCTGATACGGCGAGGGTGGCTCCGCAAACTGAGCTCCGTACCTTCATCCGCCTCAGCGGGTTGCATTCCCGCTCCTGTCCTGACCCCACAACTGGCTGTCTTTTGGTTATAATCCCGTAAAAGCGATACATTTAAGCCCCAGTGAATGTATGTTGCAAAATAATAATGGATGTCTTAAGTTTCAACTTGACAGTACACCAATATACTTTGGGAATTAAAACAAGTGTGTTGAAAAAGAGTATAGAGTCTAAAAGATGATACAAAGTATTTTAAAGAATTAGGGATTGTCTCTTTAGCGTAACATTATGTTAATATGTTGATTAGTTACTTTATTGCAGGTGGCTGGACCAGCCAGTATCAACTCAAGGCAGGAAGGTTTAACTAAAGAATTAAAATAACTTTTAAGAACCAAGTAAGCTGTCTGACTAGTTCATGCACTTAAATGAATGAGCTATTATCACATAACAGACACACCGCATCCACTGTTCTGCGCGGCGTTTCCAGACGGGAGGCTCTCTTCTGATCACCGGCTTCAAGAATTCCTTCTCACAGGCATCACTCAGTAATATCACTGTAGACTTAAGGGCGTGGAAATTAGGTCATCATCAAGAATTCAGCCTGAAATCATCCCGGAATGAGGAGGAAGCACAAGTAAGTTTAAAAAGGGCGTCAAGCAATTTCTTTCTCTATCGACAGCTCCTGTTGCAGGAAGCAGGCTCGGCCTCCACACGGACCCCACGCTCCTCCTGCGGTTCTTACAATACACCAGCCCCACTTCTCCCTGCCACTTAGAGCAAATCAATAATTCAGAGCAAGAGAAACCCAGAGTAACAGAGAACTAGCCAAATGTCCTCCAAGTCCCCTAAGAAGTGTCCCCAAAAGAAATTACTGAAGGACAGTTTTGTGGATTCCTGTGTGGACCCTAATAATGTCCAAATAGTAAGAAACATTTGTACTTCGTGTGGTCTGACTGGGAAAATCCCCCCGGATCAGCGAGTGGTGCTGACGTTAAACGTTGGGTTTGAGGCCAGACAGATGGCCCCACATCGTGCCAGGGGAGAGGACCCGGGCGGAGGGGGCAGAGGGTCTCCCAGGACAGGCCCTTGAGGGAATGACTGCTCCAGAATTATCCTAGAAACAAGGTGTTTGTCTCATTTTAAAGACCAGCAGGGAGAGGAATTCATTCCTGTTAAGCAACCCAGGTCCCAGCCATCACAAGCCTCACGAGAATTCAATCAGCTAGGCTTTGTCCAAATCCTCTGGGCAGAAATTCTTTTGCTCTCAGTGGGAACAGAAAGCTGCTGACCCGGGTCATCGGTGCCAAAGCCCTGCATTGGCGCAGACGCTGTAATTAAAAGCCCTGCTCTATGCCGAACATCTACCTCCTCTAACCCAGCAGCTCCCAACTGAGAGAGAGGTCACCCCCAAGGGACAATGTCTGCAGATATTTTTGGTTGTCACAACTGAAGGGGGAATTCTAGTGGGGAGAGGCCAGCATGCTGCTCAAAAAACCTGCAGTGCACTAGACAGATGCACACACATGCACACACTCACACACATGTACATATATACATGTATGTGCATGCACACAAATACACATGCACACACCTGCACACGGGAAAACACCAAAGAACTATCCCCAGATGTTAACAGTACCAAGGCTGATCAGCTCTGCTCCTTTCCAGACTTCAATGACCACTGGAATTTTCTTTGAATCTCACCTCAAACTCACATTA